ATTGGTTTGGGTGGGATACGTCATCATGGTCATGAAAAACGTTTACTTACGCCACCTGTAGTTGCGACGCAGATGGTCCGGTCGTCTGAACAACCACGTGAGTTGTTCCAGCTGGCGGGGCCCAAGCCAGTGAATCCGTCCGTAATTTAAGCCGGCGGGAAAAGGGTACGTCTGGGATTGTGCTCGGCGACGGGAAGAAGGATTGATAGGTGATCAGTCTATTGATCAGCTAGCCGCAAGTCAGATCTCTTTAGAGGCACTCCGCAGCGTGCTCAAAGCTCTTCGACTTGGGCGGAAGTCTCACGAAATTTTAAACGGCTAGCTAGCCAATTACTAGCCGCTACGTGTGAATAATTTAGAACTGGCCACTAGCGGGACACAAATTTGCATTCGAATAGCGGGAACTCTTTGCACCGTGCATTTCTGTGCTGCAAGGAAGAAATGCACCCTGCAAATTGGCGGGAAGTCTCTTGCACCGAGGTTCTTCTGTGCAGCAAAAACCTTCGCTGTGCAAGAGGCTCTCATGTGGCAAGAAAATTCCATCGTGCCGAGGCACCAAAATCACTGGGTTGTGACAGTACTGACTTGCTGGGCTTGTGCTAAAGCAACAACAGGGCCAACACGTGGTCAGTACTCAGAGGCCTGGCAGCCTTTAGCCGTGTGCGAGGACGGCAAGTAGCTGCTTCGCTGGTCTGGAGCTAACAGAGGGATAGAGCCGTCACAGCCGGCTAAGCCAGGCTGCTCGTAGACAGCACAGGAAAGGCAGCACCCTAGGGAAGGACACTGCGGGAGGAAGCGATGCCCTTGTCCACGGTCAGGATGTTGTTGAGGACTGGAGGGGCTCATGTCATCTGCTTCCCCCTCTATGGCTCTGTGTGGTCACAGTGTCCCGTGGTGTCTGGTTGACAAACTCCGGGGGTGTCGCGGTGGATTGTGGACAGGGTGACACTAGCAGCTTTCAAATACTGTGCCCCGTGCCTTGTTTAGTGCCCTCTTCATAATGTCCAGAGGGGGCTGGCATTCTCCTTTCCTTAGCACTAACCACACGACTTCTCCGTTATTTCAGTTTTAGCATATTCTCAGATCACCTGGTTGCTTCACAAGAAGCCTCAAAGCATTGGTGGGCAATTCTTACATCTGGAGAGCTGCTTAATGAGTAGAGCTGTCAAACAATTTAAAAAATGAATCACAATTAATTGTGACATTAGAAAAATAGTCGTGAACAATTGCAATTTGAATTGCACAGATAAGCAATGACAGAATCCCATTTTTTATAAATATTTTGGGATGTTTTTTCTATCTTTTCAAATAAAATTCATGTCCGTCACAACACAGAATAAAAACTGTACAGAACCCAGACCCCTGGCCCTGTCAGGGCCTCTCATTTCCACCTCACAGCCCCTCACCTCCCCGGCTCTGCCAGTGCCCTCACTCCCAACCCGCAGGCCTTCCCCTGGTGGTGCACAAGTGCTGGGAGCTGTACATGCGCGGTGGGAAGCCCCGTGCAATAGAGGCAGGCTGCTCCGGCTGTGCTCCTTGCAACTGCATGCCGCGCTGGGTGGAGCCGTGCATCACCAGGTGGCAGCACCTGTGTGGGCCACGGGCAGCCGAGCGCCCAGCGCCTGGTGCTGCTGTCACCACCAACCAGGGCTCTGTACCAGGGTGGGGGCAGTATTTGACGGGTCCCTGCAGCCCCCACTCTCCCCTCACACCCACACCCTGCCCACTCATGCTCCGAGCTCCGGCCACCCCGCCAGGCACGGGCTCCGCACTCCCACCAGCCCCACGCTGTGCTCCCACCCAGCTCCCCCTCCCCCTCCCGCTGCTGCTTCCCCACCTGCTGCCCGGGAAGACAGCTGCAGGAGGGGGATGAGGAGCTGCAGATGCCAAGGAAGGTGGGCAGGTCGCCTGCGGCTGCAGCAGTGGGAACAGCAATCCCGCCCAGAAGCAGGAGGGTGGCAGCGAGGCGCGTGGCTGGGTGGGGTACAATTAGCTGGTGGGCACCTGTGGGCTGGATGATATTGCCTGGCGGGCTGGATGGAGCCTGAGGGCTGTATTTTGCTCGCCCCTGCCTTAAAGGCTCACCATGAACATTTCTGTCCCTCTGATGGTCCATTTTGCTGACTCTTTAATAATGAGCTGAGCTGTATTTTGTACTCTGGGGATGAACAGAAGGCTGGCGGGGCACGGCGACCGTCCGCAGGCGGCAGTGGCGGTGTCGGCGACGGGGTCGTGGTGGCCGTGAGCGGGGACCGCCCGCAGGCAACCACAGCGGTGTCGGCGGTGCGGGGAGGGGCAGTCAATCCCAGGGGGTGCGCGTGCACCCGCGTGCATCCCCCACGCATCTCCAATGCCTCTGGGGAAGCTACAGCATGTCTACAACGTTCGCCTTTTTAAAAGCTTCTCTGCTTTCACTCAGGGAGCTGACTTCACTGGTTGACAACACGACTGGTAGAAGCCGTCTGTCTTTCCGTGATTATTTTTATCCTGGGCTATCACACAGAGTCCATGACAAAATGATTTGGAGATCCTTTACAATGAAAAGTTAATATACGTTTAAGAGTATTACTCTTCTATAGTGTTATGTTAACAAATAAGTGATAAATAGTCTGAATTTTGAATCCTTTCTCTCGGTTTAGATTACAGTGTGAAGTACAGAGAGCACACCCACAAGAAGTACCGGCTGATATCAGAGAGGAATCTGCAGATTTGCCAGAACGTGACTCTCAACAGCAGATATACTCGGCTGATGATTGTTAGTGAGCCTTGTCCTGAGGAGGAAAAAAGGCACGAAATACTGAGCAGGGGATGGAGACATGCAGGAACTAGGAGGGAACATAATCCACCTTTGATTACTGTAGACACCCTCTTCAGCCGTGATGAAACTGGACAAAGCCCCCAAATTATTGTCCTGGTTGGAGCTGCCGGGATTGGAAAAACAATGACGGCAAGAAAGGTCGTGTTGGACTGGGCGTCAGGGGAGCTGTACAAGGAGGAGTTTGAGTATGTTTTCTATATAAATTGTCGGGAGACGATCAGGCTCCCCGAGCAGGGAAGCGTGGCTGACATGATGTTGAGATGTTGCCCTGATAAGAAAGCGCCCATTAAGACGATTCTGGAACATCCAGAAAAACTCTTGTTCATAATTGATGGCTTTGATGAGCTGAGATTTTCCTTTGATCAACCTGGAAGCGATCTGTGCTGTGATCCCACGGAGGAGAAGCCAGTGAGCGTCATCCTGAGCAGCCTGTTTCAGAGAACGGTTCTCCCTGAATGTTACTTGCTGATCACGACAAGACCCACCGCTCTGGAGAAACTGAGGCAGTGCTTGAAAACCAGGCAGCCTGATCCGCAGTGTTCGCGGTATGCAGAAATCCTGGGGTTTTCTGAGCAGGACAGGGAGGAGTATTTCTGCAAATTCTTTAAGGATGATTCAAAAGCATTGGAGGCCTTTAGCTTTGTAAGGGAAAATGAAGTTCTCTTCACCATGTGCTTTGTCCCCATTGTGTGTTGGATCCTCTGCACCGTGCTGAAACAGCAGATGGAGAGAGGTGAGGATCCTAGACAAACTGCAAAGACGCTCACTGAAGTGTACATGCTGTTTCTCTTCAGCTTAGTAACGTCTCCTGGCTGCAGTGCAAAGCCCGCTGTGCAAAGCGACTTGAGGAGACTTTGCTCCTTGGCTGCTGCTGGAGTCTGGGAGCAGAGGATTGTCTTTGAGGAGGACGAGATCAAGAAGTCTGGCTTAGATGAGGCAGCCTCTCTGCCCCTCTTTCTGAACGAGACTGTTTTTACAAAAGACATCGACTGTGAGAGTGCCTACAGCTTCCTGCACTTAAGCATCCAAGAGTTTTTTGCAGCTCTGTCCTATGTACTGGAGGAAGATGAGGAAGCCATGGAAGAGTCAGTGGCTCCTCAGAGAGATGTGAAAAATCTCCTCAATCATTATGGGGAGTCGAGAGATGATTTCATGTTAACAGTGCGGTTTTTGTTTGGTTTATTAAACGTTGGCCGAATGAAGGACATAACTAGAAAACTTGGCTGGAAAATATCAGCTAAAATAATACCAGACCTACTGGCATGGTTTAGATCATCTTTCCTATCAGAAGCTATAGGAAACCTTGATAGACTTCACTGCTTGTTTGAGATCCAGGAGGAAGGGTTTGTGAGAGAGGCATTGCATCGGTACACTCGTATGAGCTTTTCCGGCAAAGTAACTCATATGGATCAAGTGGTTCTTTCCTTCTGTATGAGACACTGTATTCAGCTGGAATCACTCGAGTTTTCTGGGGCTACATTTGGGGTAGAAGATGAAGATGAACCAAGCCCACCAAAACAGGTTTGCCGGTAAGTATGGTGTAAAGACGGAGGTGGGACATGTTTTCCTCGCTGTTGATAGCAGATAAATGACCAAAAGACCTGCCACAAAAGAGACCCCTGTGGCTGTGTCCAGAGGAGTGCAGCTGTGCAGCATGCAGCACCGCAAAGATATCTGTGGCACCACATACTGCACATTTGTCTGTTCTCTGTGCTGCAAGGGAGGGATTTGACCCTTGGATATCCAGGGGTAAAAAAAAGTGCAGAAAAAAAAAAAAGCGGGGCGGTGTATGCAGGGGCTGCGTTCACTGCCCGAAACTCTGGCTGCCGGCCAGGCTCCACGTGGCAGGATCGCCACTGCTGCAGCCCTGGGAGGACCCCAGGTAAGGGGACTGGGAACAGCCCAGAGCTGGCCCCAGCCTCTCCTTCCCCCCAGGTAACCTGCCCCGCACCAGAGTGCGTGCGGCATGGCGTTTGCCAGGGACAGCTAACCCAGGTCTTGTTCTGTAGGAAGGGGTAGCTCTGCCTGGACTGGAGCAGAAGGCTACAGAAAGCAGACAGGGATGAGAGGAGGTGGGGAAATTAGCCAGCGAGCGTGAAGCTGAAAGCAAGAGGTGCAAGTCGGAGGGAAGTGGGGAGTGCAGAGCTGCCGGAGCATGCCTGGGGGAAGTCTGAGGTTGGATGCTAACGATGCCTTCAGCTTTTGTTCAGCAGAAGCTGAGGGCTGGCAACACAGAGCTGTTAGTGAGAAGTAGGATCACCCTGAGATCAGAAAGACATTTCTGCGCTTCATCTGAAGGTGTGTACCAGTGGCTGTGGAAAGAAAGCCAAATCCAGAAAGGGGATACTGCCCAGTCCCTCGATCTAGCACGGAGAGTAGAACTGAGTTACAGTAGCGGTAAGGAGCCGTAGTCTTTCAGTCTTGGCAGCCCTGCAGAAGCACCCTAAGTTTTCACCTGATTATCCAGCTAAGACTCTTTACAGCGCACAGATTATGATGCCATGGCACCCTGTTGAGCATCGGTGGTGCAAGTGTTGTGCACACAAGTCGCACAACTGCTATTTTTCATAGTCACATGCAGGCTGAGATTCAGAATTGGCTATTGAGGAGGCTCAGCAGGTCTGTGCAGGGCAGCTACCTGGGGGATAGAGAAATAGTTCCCTTTTGGATGTGTTCTTTGTTTTGGAAGTTGTATAGTGAATTCAAACTGCAGAGTAGCTCATACACAATGCAAGGTCCTGCAGTCCAAAGGTGTATTGTGCTGCTTCAATCGTATCGGGTCCTTCCACGTCTTTTGGCTAGACTCTGACCATCCTTGGCCCCACCACAGGGTTGATCCCTGCCATAATTCACCTTGCACGCAATCATGGTTAATGTGCTGGGGGAGGGGGAGGAGGTGGGGGAAGAGAAGGAATTGTCTCCGAGACCTTCCTTGTTCCGCTTTCCCAGGTATGGGGCCATCCGCGTGTTTATGGGCCTTGGGTCCTCCGGGGAAAAGTTGGCATGGTGTACAGGGGTGACCGGACTAACTCACCAGGCCCCTGTATGTAGACAGGGAGCTTCTGCATATCAGGAGAGGGCAGTTGGATGCCACTTCCACATGGACCTTTTCTCCTGTGGGCACCTACAAGTCTGGGAGGCAATAGTAGAGTGCTAGCCAATGTCTTTCTGCTCCACCCTCTTGCCCCACCCCCCAGACCCCCTCCCACAAATACCCATCTGTCCTCACTGTCCCCATATGTCAAGACGAAGTGTGCTACACGTTCCCACTGTATGACAAAGTGCAGTGCACCACCCAGCTCTCTCTTATGGCTGGACATAGTACTTGGCTCCGGTTCTTGGCATCCTCTGCTCAGCACTGCTTCCTGTGCCCCAGTACTGAGCACGTGCACTAGCTCCTACCACCCGCCTCCAGGGGGACGATGCCCGGGGGGTGCAAATGAAACAACTGCAGACCTGAATGCTGCTGTCATGTCTTCTGCAGCCTCCTCCCTTTCAGGACACCTCTTCTATGTATGGGCAGATCCAGGATGTCCTGAAGGTGGGGTGCTGGACACTGCTGCTCAGACCTTGGGGTTATGGGAGTGGGGCCTCCCTGGACCCCCCGGTCTCTGACCCAGTCAGTGCTCTGCCTATTGCTCTTGTAGCAGCCAGTGTCTCCTGGCTCTGCTTTCCCTCCTCCAGCTGCTGCTTCCTGCCTCCACCCCAAGGGATGAGGCAGTGCAACAGCATGGGCAGCTGATGGTGAACCTGGGGTCATGCCTTGGGGAGAGGGGGTCAGGGCTTTGTGCCAGAGGATCGTGTCCATGTGGTGCAGCAGTGGGGGGCAGGGGAGGAATCATGTTTTCATGCCCACTCCGCACAGCAGGGTGGGGGTGCATCATGCAGGCCTTGGAGCTTAGAAGTTGGACAGCCCTGCACTACAGACTAGACTCGCCCCTGACTCCCACGTGGCTCCTTTCGCAGAGACAATATACAACCACCCTGCTGCATACTCTCTTCTCAAGGTCCTTCCTAGCTACGGCTCCTGTGCCTCTGGTGTTTTCTCAGCATCCTCTACCAGCTTTGTCTTAGTTCAGGACACTTCAAGGCCCTTAACAGAGACAGCAATAACTGCCCATACAGACTGACTCTTCAGAGACCTGTTATCTCCTCTTGGCACTGAGGTCCTGGCGGAGTCACCAATTGTTGGCACTGGATTTAGGACCCAGATGCCTTGTTCCTAGGGGGACCCAAAACCCTTAGACTGACCACAACCTTTCCATTCGATAATAGGCAAATTAACTGATACACAGTGGTAACAGAAAAGAATAATACAAGCAGTTTTATAGCTATCAATCCTAGGGCTGTCATCGCAGTAAAGATACATCTGGCCAGAACACAAGCTTCACTCTGAGGAAACCAGGGAAAGGCTCTTGGATGTCAGATGTTAGCAGCCTGGAGGTCAGAGGCCGAGGCTCACCCGCCACCCCCTAGTGGGGTGGATGAGATGGGCTGGTGGTATAAGCTCTGTCCATAGTACCTTGGGTTCCCCTCTTAGAGGCACCCACCTCGGGGACCAGTTTTGGAGATGCCGGGGACCCTTTGTGGCTGTAAAATTCCTCTTTTGTATTCTTTTCCCTTTCTGATGACTCTTAATCCATGCCTATCACTGATTGGTCTTTCTGTGGTCGTCATACTGCCATATTTCGTCTTTCTTGATCTTCTCCTAATTTGGTCCATTATCCCCAAAATCAGGATTCTCAGGCCCCACCTTTGGGCCTCGTGAGCTGGTGACATCTTATCTCATATCATGGAAGAGTGTGGTATACGCTCCCAGTTTCCCAGGCTATGTGCATATCCGCTGGCCTTGCTGCTTGCCTGGGTTAGACACCCTGGCTGTTTTAAAGGCTGTGAGAACCGTGTGACACACACAGGCCATTAGAAATCAGTTAACCTTTGCTGTTGCCCTGATCCATTGTTCTAATGCATAGATATTTCACCTATAAGCCAATTCCCAAAAGCAAACCCCTACATACAGTTTTCTAGTCGTTATCTCTTTTAGGAATACTAAATCCTTCCCAGTTGGACGCGAGAGCTGAAGTATCCAACATACTTCCCAGTGCATTCCCAATTATTAATTGAGCTGCTAGATTCCTGTTCATCCTTTCCCTGCCAGCACTGACCCACGTGCCCCATCCCAGGGTTGGGGATTGATAGTATTGATAGTACTCCTATTAGATATTGGAAGCAAACCGAGAAAACATTGGACTTTGTGGATAACTTAAAATTCACTTTAAATTAAAAGCCACATTGTGGTTAAATATATGTGATGAGTTCTACTAGATTTCCAGATAAAATAAAACAATTGGCCAACACAAAAGGGCCAAAAGCACTGGAGACATTTGTGTGTGTGCTGAGAATAGCATGTAAATGCTCAGGGTACTTTGAGTCCAAGCGATGAATGGATCCCACTTGGTAGAATCTGTTGTGTGTGCCTGCAGGTACATCTTGTGATACTAGACTGAAACTGTAGAATAGCTCACGTGTGATATCTGTTCACCATCCAGGGTGGGCTCGTACCACCGAGGAAATGGAGTGAGGGTCCATGTGCACAGAATCAAATGACATCTATTCTCTTTGCAGGGAACAGAAGAAGCACTCACCTATTTACCTGCTGTGTGAAGCACTGAAGGGCCCACAGTGCAAAGTGAAAAGACTGTGGTAAGAGACTTCTTTCCTTGTGCAAGCCCCAGGCTCCCTGATGTTACCTCGGGATTTCTGTGATTAGTATTACATTTGCATTCTCTGCCAATGGGGCAGAGTCTCACCTGGAGTCAGTTGTCTCCAAGATCCATCACTTCAGAGGACCTGTGCCAATAGACAACAGCTGAGGATCTGTTGAAGTGTGTGAAGGGCAGGTTTAATGTCAGCCCAGACTTTTCGTGACATTTAACACAGATGAGTAGGAGAGAGAAAAGGGGTCATTGAGGATTGTTTGAGGCTGCAGAATGGCTGCAGAAGGCTAGTGAGAGACCTTAGGTATTCAAATCTCAGGCAGTTTAAGTGCCTGTCATGTAAGATCCACTTGATCTTTCCTGGTCACTCATTGGTGATGCAGTAGGTGAGCAGGAGCTTACTTCTTTCTCCTTGCTGCCTCTGTGCCACCAACCCCTTCTTTCGTTCTCCTCCCACCCTCACCTCTCTATCCCACTTGCTGCCCCAGCTGTTGTTACTGGAAAAGCCTTTGTCAGAAGGAGGATCTGGTATTTGGATCTGACAGGACCAGGCCAGGGCTCGTGTTGGTCCCCTCTGACAAGGGCTTCTACAGCTGGAGTGTAGCTGTGGAGCATGCTCTCTTCCAGTCTCCAACGCCTCTTGTCAGCCTGGGGAATACCGCTGTTTGACAGGACCCAGGATGGATAAATATCTTTGAGACGGCGTGTGCTAGAGAGCACGGGCCTTGCCAGCAGTGCTGCAACTGCCAGACACAGGTGTGACAACACAACTACACCCGTGTGTGGTAGCAGCAATGCACAAGGATCAGGTCTTCTTTGGTGTTCAGCCTTGCTCAGAGCCAGGGCAACCAGATGTGACCACCAGCACATCCCTTTGCATTGCACAGCCCTGGCAGCTCCACAGAGCCCCTTCCCCCAAGTGCAGAGCAGATTGGACAGCTCAGAGGACCTGGTCTAGCACCTGGTCAGAAAACGCGGGTAGTCAGGAAATGTCAGAACTTTTTGTAAAGTTTCATTAAAGGCAGGCAGCATTTTCTGGAGAGCATGGCCATGGTTATTGGTTTCCTTTCAGCTGCCTTGTCCATCTGCAGGGAATGAGAAGGATGTGGCAGGAGTTGTGGGTGTGGGTGGCTCATGCTTAGTGCTGTTGGCCTGACTTGGTTCCATGCCCCCGTGCCTGCAGCACACTCACATCCAGGAAGGGCATCAGTGAGGCTGCCCCAGGCTGATTGCACTGCAGCTGCTCTCGGACCCTGGAGAGGCAGGAGCTGAAAAGCAGCCTCAGAGGGATGAGCCCGGAGCCCCGCGCTGGGTTTGGAGCATGTGTGGGGGTGCGGGCGGGAGGGGCAGAGCAGAGCAGGGTCAGGCCCAGGAGTGGAGGGCTGGGGCTGGGCCCTTCTCAGCGCTGATTGGCCACAGGTGCAGCACAGACATTGGCACTGAGCAGGAAGCACTGGTTTCTCCTTGGCCAAGGGGTGGATCTTGAAGCAGAGTAGGAGGCGGAACTTCTGTCCCATTGTCCCTGCTGATTGGGCAGAGAGGAACTGGTAGGTGGGGCCATCTCTCAGAGCACCTGTGCCAGCCCAGTTCACGCCCTGATCTCTCTCCTCCGTGCATCTCTCTCCTGCCGGTTCCTGTCTTGCGATCTCACAGCCGCCTGTTCCGGGGATCTCGCTGCTGTTCTCAGTACCAGCACCAGCCTGACGGAGCTGGACTTGTTTAAAAACTATGGTCCGAGGAATGACGGCATGCGGGTGCTGTGCGAGGGACTGAGACATCCCAGGTGCCCGTTAGAAACACTGTGGTAAGGAGCATGCAGCTTGTCCCAGTGATGTGCTTGAGTTGTGGGGGATGAGAGGGAGGGGACAATGGCCGGTGCCCATGTTGGGGACAGTGGAATTGTTGAATACAGCCAAAGCCAGACCCACACCCCACTCCTCCCCTGTGGTCCAGGTCCATCTGTGCTGGGGGCAAATGAGCTTCCTGGGAGCACGGGCCCTACCAGTGTGCTGTGGCAGTGGCTCGGGGGTGGGTGGGGGGCAAAGCAGGAGACACGGGACAGAGGAGTGCAGCAAGTTGCCAGAGCTCTCCTGCCACCCCGCGCTTCCCGACTGAGATTTGATCCCTCAGTGGAAAGCAGCGGGATGGCCTCACTGCAGTGCTACAGGCGTGCTCGTCAGCGCCGCCGAGAGGCAGTACTCATTGTCCCAGTGACGCGGTGTGAATGTGGCTGTACGGCTGCTGCTGTTGTGGAGGTGCTGCGTGCAGAGCCAGCTCATGAGCAGCCTGTGCTGCAGCCTGTGCAGCCTGTCTGGGCAGTGACCCGTGCTGGGTAGGTCGCGAGTCTGTTCAGAGGTTTGGGGGCCTGGGTTTGGGGAGAGGTGGGGGCCGTGTTGGAGTGAAGTGGCCTGTCCAGTTCTGCGGGAGCCTGAACCAGGGAGTAGGGATGAAATAGGTTGGCAGCTGTAGGTCTGGGGCACAGGGACCTGGGCTGCCAGTCAGGAGACCTCGCTCTGCCTCTGGCCAGGAGGCACGTGACTTCTCCCTGCTCTTCTGTTCAGCTTGCTGAAAAGGTGCTCGGAAGAGGCCGTGAGAGCAGACTGCAGCTACTTGAAGGGCTGCCATGAAGAAGAGGCAAAGCCCCTTTTCTGTCTTGCTGCAGAGAGAAGGACACAGACCAGTGGCTTGAATTTGCAGCAAAGTAAAATTAGATTGGTGATCCAGAAATACTTCTTCATTGTGAGAATAGTAACACAGTGGAGTAGGTGCCTAGGGAAGCTGTGGACTCTCCATCAATTGGAGGAGTTCAGGAGGAGGGTGGACAGCCACTGGTTGGGAACGGTTTTGGCCTAGCTATGCCTATTTTCTGCCTGGGGTATTTCCCACGCTTCTCGGCTTTGCTGCTTGCTCCTACCCCCAACTCTTTCTTTCTGCTATGTGTGTCAGTGTATTATTAATCCTCCCCAGGAGCACTGGGTGTTGGGTACAGCTAAGGAAGAAGACTTCATTTCGAGTGTGCCAGTTCTCCTGCTAGGGGCAAAGCCAGAGGCTCCTGGCTAGAGGGGCTTGCCCCTCCACTCGAGGTCAGACCAGGGGCCAGATATGGGGCCAGGAAGGAAGTTTCCTGCATGGTCAGATTGTTGTGGACGGTGGGGGAGCAGCTGGTCACATCCTCAAGAAATGTTCCCATAGTTGGGAGCTGCTGAGGCCCTGCAGTGCCTGCCCATGTTCCTGGCAGACTGCAATGTCCAGAGGGTTTTGGGGCAGCTGCATGAAGGACCAGTCTATGGTATGCAGCTCTTCCTTTCTTTCCCTGGAAAACAGCCTTTTCCCCCTGTTGTGCTAGCAGAGCAGGGTGAAAAAGCTGTCTCAGGGCTGAGAGACTGACCCAGTGACTGTTACATGTTTGCACCACAAGCCGAGGTGCCAGCCCTACCGAAGTGCAAGTGTTTGTGTCTTGCTCCAGCATTTGACTTGGGAGCAGCTCCGAAATGATTCAGACTTGAGTTTACACTGCAAAGAAACCCACACAGGGCAAGCAGGCAATGAGACAGGTCGGGCACCCCACAATTTACATTGATGTCCAAATACACAGTGGCTTTTAATAGTTGTGCCTGCACATTAACCTTATTAACAGACCTTCTTCTAACTGCATAAAGGCCTGCTGACCTGCGTGGCAAAGTAACACCTCTCTGCTTGAGCGCAGGGGCTGCTCATGCTGGGTTTACTGATGTCTTGTACCAGGAGGTCTCTTGGACACCGTCACAGATAAGATGGGTAGAGGGAGAGGCCAGTGCCTTTTCTTTCTTCTCTGCTGTGAGTTAAAGAAGCTGAGAGTTCATCATCTCCTCAGTATTTACATTGACGTTGATGGCCTCCCCCTCCTGGCAGGTGTGGGGTGACGGAGATGTTTGAGACAGCCGTCCCCGCCCCAGATATCTGTGGTCGAGCTCAGTGTCGCCTCCTCATCCAGGTGGATACTGTGGATTCCTGTTTGAAATCTTGTGGTTTATCTTCCTGCTTTGCCTTCCCTGCTGCCACTTTCCCACTGATCCTCTCCCCATCAGCGTCTGCCCCTCAGATCTTCTCTTCTCCCCACTTTCTCTCCTCTCCCCTGAGAGTTTGCCTTTCTCCAAGCCAAAATGGGACCTTGTCCCTCCACGCCGCCCCTCGGGTCAGACATCAAAGCGCTGTTGAGGGGAAAGGCATATTCTTTTCAGGTTGTCTCCTTGCAGAGTAGGGCTGCGCGAAACAGCAGCATCCTGCTTCGACTTCTGTGTCGCCGTTTCGACAGTCCCGTGTATCGGGTCAGGTTTCATTTCAATTCAACAGCGCTGTTGTGTTCTGTTCCGGGTCGTTTCATTGAAACAGTGTCACTGTTTCGCCATTTCGCCCTTAGGCTATAATGGGGACGCATGAAACAGCCCATAACTTTGCCATTTCCTGCCTGACTGTGATTAAACTTGAAGGGATGGTAGCCCCTTCTGAGGCCACAAAGTCTGCCAAGTTTCAAGGAGATCAGTGCAGGGGTTTCTGGGAAAGTGCACCTCAAGCTGCTACCTAGCAGGAGCCGGGGAGCAGGAGCACTTGGGTGTCGCTTCGCCCAGCTGGGCTCAGTCCCCAGCGGTGGGGCCCAGGCGGCAGGAGCAGCGCGGTGACCCGGAAGCTCATGGGGGCCGCGCCCCTGCGAGGGGTCTGGCAGAGCCCCACCGCCCCCGGGGGGTGCCCCGATCTGCTGCCCGTCTGTGGAGCCCGGCTGTGGAGCAGGCCGTGCCACCAGGCGCACATAGTGCATCCCTCTCCAGGGCTTGATTTTCCCCAGCCTCCCGCGGGTCTGCCTTGGTTTGTCATTGGGCAAGGCCTGAAACCGGGACCTTTCTGCCTCGTCTGTCGTGTGACTGTCCTTCAGGAGAGGTCGGGGGGGGCGCTGCCTGTCACAGCATCTGCGGCGGCCTCGTTCATGCGCTGATCTCTCTGCTTCTCTCTCCTCCAGGTTGGGGTGGTGCAATCTCCCAGACGCCTGCTGTGGGGATCTCGCCGCTGCTCTCAGCACCAGCCCCAGCCTGACGGAGCTGAACCTGAGTGAGAACTTTGTTCTGGGGTATGGCGGCGTGCGGGTGCTGTGCGAGGGACTGAGACATCCCAGCTGCAAGGTGCAGACACTGCGGTAAGGAGCAGCCGCTTCCCCCGGGCACTCACTAGGTCTCTGTGGAAGCGTCCAACACGGCGAGGTGTCTTGGTCCTAGTGCTTGGGAGAGCGGACTAGGTCAGCTGAGCGCACACACCTCGGTCTGTGCTTCTGGCACTCTGCTGTTTGCGGCGACCACAGAAGTTTTAGCGAAATGCAGGATGCACTAAGGAAATGCAGGACGGGGTGCACTATGCGCGTGTGCGTCCGTGCATGCATGCACACCCTCCCCATGCACACATGCACATACCCCCTTGCTTCACACACACACACAAATGAAACACTGTGCCCTGTGCCTCCTTACACACACAACCCTCCCTGCTCCTATTCACATATGCACAAACACACTCACACACCTCTGTGCCTATTAATGCACATACACACACATCCGTGCACAGACCCGTGCCTGCTCACACTCACGTGCTCACACACTTGTGTTCCTCATCCCTCATACACACCCCTGTACATCTTCACACACACAAGCATACACACTCACCTGTGCCTCCTCACACCCCCCCCCACGCACACACCCTGTGCCTCCTTGAATAAACATGCACACAGCCCATGTGTGTGGCTCCTCACACACACAGACACACCCAGGTGCTCTGTCTCACACTCTCATGCACACACAGAGACACATCTGTGCCTCTTCATGCACTCACCCATACATACACGCACACCAACCTCTGCCTGCTCATACTCACACACATACCCATGCCTACCCACACACACACACACACACACACTCCCCAGTGCCGCCCCCATCTCACACCCAGTGAAACCTGCTTGCCTCCTCTCTCTCTCACACATCCACACACCGCCCTTTTCATAAACACACATACATGCCTGCACACACACCCTGTGGCTCCTCACTCTCACACAAACAGAGCCATGTGCTTCCTCACACCCGCCATGTGCCTGCTCTCACACAAACACTAACATACAAACACACAGACACACCCCTGTGCCTCCTCTCACACACACACACACACACACACACACACACCCTGTGCCTCAGGACATACGCACAAACAGCCCAGTGCCTCCGCACACATACAGAAACACACCAGTTTTTGTGTATCAAACACCAGACTCAAAAGCACAGACCGAGGTGTGTCTGTGCTTTTGACCAGAATCAAACACCAAACTCTCTCGGGATTGAGAATGTATTTGCTGATGATAACGGCGGCACTGGGCGGTTTCCAAACTGGTTTAGAGTTGTAACTATATCAATTAAACACTGTTTTCCACTGATACCTGCATGCATAGTGACACTTCATTTTAATCTGGAAATGCATGGATTCTGGGGGTTTAATCAGAGAATTTGGGATTTTTATCAGAAAGTTTGGATTTTTGATCCGAGAAAACCAGGATCCTGCCAATAACATCCTTGATTTAAACCAGCGGCGGCGGCTGTGGAGCAGGCCGTGCCACCAGGCGCACATAGTGCATCCCTCTCCAGGGCTTGATTTTCCCCAGCCTCCCGCGGGTCTGCCTTGGTTTGTCATTGGGCAAGGCCTGAAACCGGGACCTTTCTGCCTCGTCTGTCGTGTGACTGTCCTTCAGGAGAGGTCGGGGGGGGCGCTGCCTGTCACAGCATCTGTGATGGCCTCATCCATGCCCTGGTCACTCTGCTCTCTGCTTCTCTCCTCCAGGTTATGGTGGTGCCGTCTCCCAGCCGTCTGGTGTGAGGATCTCGCCGCTGTTCTCAGCACCAGCTCCAGCCTGACGGAGCTGGACCTGAGTGAGAACGATGATCTGGGGTATGGCGGCGTGCGGCTGCTGTGCGAGGGACTGAGACATCCCAGCTGCAAGTTGCAGACACTGCGGTAAGGAGCAGCCGCTTCCTCCGGGCACTCACTAGGTCTCTGTGGAAGCGTCCAACACGGCGAGGTGTCTTGGTCCTAGTGCTTGGGAGAGCGGACTAGGTCGGCTGAGCGCACACACCTCGGTCTGTGCTTCTGGCACTCTGCTGTTTGCGGCGACCACAGAAGTTTTAGCGAAATGGAGGATGCACTAAGGAGATGCTGGACGGGGTGCACTATGCGCGTGTGCGTCCGTGCATGCATGCACACCCTCCCCATGCACACATGCACGCACATGCATGCACCCCCCCCATGCTTCACACACACACACGAATGAAATACTGTGCCTCCTCACACGCACAACCCCCCTGCTCCTCTTCACATATGCACAAACACACTCACACACCTCTGTGCCTATTAATGCACATACACATACATCCATGCACAAACCCATGCCTGCTCACACTCACATTCACACACTCTTGTGTGCCTCCTCCCTCATACAAATGCATGTACATCCTCACACACACAAGCACACACACTCACCTGTGCCTCCTCACACAAACACCCTGTGCCTCCTTGAATAAACATGCACACAGCCCATGTGTGTGGCTCCTCACACACACAGACACACCCAGGTGCTCTGTCTCACACTCTCATGCACACACAGAGACACATCTGTGCCTCTTCATGCACTCACCCATACATACACGCACACCGACCTCTGCCTGCTCATACTCACACACATACCCGTGCCTACCCACACACACACACACACACACACACACACACACACGCACACTCCCCAGTGCCTCCCCCATCCTTCTCTCACACTCACTGAAACCTGCTTGCCTCCTCTCTCTCTCTCACACATCCACACACCACCCTTTTCATAAACACACATACATGCATGCACACACACCCTGTGCCTCCTCATACTCACACACACACAGCCATGTGCCTCCTCACACCCCCCATGTGCCTGCTCTCACACAAACACAAACATACAAACACACAGATGCAACCCTGTGCCTCCTCACACAAGCCTCCCGGTCTTTCTCTCTCTCACACACACGCACACACACCCCTCTGTGCCTCTTCGTACACATACAAATACATGCACTCACACCCCCTGTGCTTACTCACAAACACACACACCTGTGTGCTTCCTTACAACCCACACACAATCATGTGCATCCTCTCACACACACACACACACACACACACACACACAGTCACCTGTGCCTCAGAAACACACACACACACACACACACACACACCCACCCACCCCCTGTGCCTCCTCAGATACACATGCACACAGCCCAGTGCCTCCTCCCTCACACACACAGACACACCCCAGTGCTGCATCTCATGCTCACACACACACACTTCTGTGCCTCTTCACACACACACAAACATACATGAACACCCGCCCTGTGACTACTCATAGTCACATACGCACCCCCATGTGCCTCCTCACACATGACAACACCCCCCGCGCTGCCTCTCTCACACACACACACACACACACACACACAGAGCCTTCTCGCACACACACATACACGCACACCCTGTGCCTCCTCACATACATGTGCATGCAGCCCGGTGCCTCCTCTCTCACAGACACACCCCGGTGCCTCATCTTGCACACACATACACACACAACAAACCATAGTGCCTCTTCTGTCACACAAACGCACACACCCCTGTGCCTCCACACACAGATACACAATCTCACAGACACACATACATATGCACACCCCGTTGTGCCTCCTCTCTCCGACACGCACAATACCCTGCACCTCCACACACACACACATAAACACACATATATTCACTGACCCCTTTGCCTCCACCCCCCACCCCCTGTGCCTCCTCACCCTGCAGGCCTTGATCTGCCCCCCCACGGCCCTTCCCCTCCCCCACCCCTTCCCCTCCAGACTTACCTGCGGGGGGGGGGGGCGCAGCGCACACTTGGGCTCCCCAAC